GCTAGTAACAAGTTAACTGGCTAGCGTCATGTTAAAAATGTTAGCAATGCATAATACAATGTGAAAACAGGCTAGCAGTGTTAAAACATGTTGGGACATGCAAAACCCTGCTAGCTAAGTGCTAAACCATGCTAGCAACAGTATAAAATGTGCTAAAAATGAGATGAAACATGGTAGAAACATGCTAGCAACATACTAGATCATGCTAGCGTCATGATAAAAAATTGTAACAACACTTAACAAATCGGTAAACCTAAGGTATTAAAACATGCTACAATATGTTATAATGTGCTAGCAACATTCTAAAGCCTGCTAGCTAAGTGTTAAATCATGGTGAAAGTGCTCAAACCTGCTAGGAACAAGCTAAAATGTGCTAGCAACGTGATGAAACATGGTAGCAATATATAAAAACATGCAAGCAACATACTAAATCATGCAAGAAATAAAGTAAAACATGCGAGCTTCATGCTAAATGTCAACAACACCTAAATGTTAAAACTTACAAGGTGACAAAACATGCTTAAACCATGCAAATAACATTCTAGCAATGTGATAAAACATGTAAACAATGTGCTAAAACATGCTAGGAACATGTTAAATTAACATTAGCCAAATGCTAAAACAATATAGCAGTGCTAAAACATGTTAACAGTAAATAGTAAATACAGTAAAAACAGTCAAACTTGTCAAGCCAAAATGTTTTTACATTATTTAACAAATTAATTTATAAACTTCCATCTGTAAAAAAATGCCTAGTGATATATGGTAGCTGCATATGATATTTTGCCATCTAATTCAATGACATTCATTAATTTTTAAGTGTGGCTTTAGTGTTCATATAATGTGTATTGTGTACTTTAACACAGCTGGAAAACTGTATTGATCAATCATCATGCATTATCAGAATTATCCATTTCATATTGCAATGCATGCAGCTTGAAGTGCAATAAAGCAAGCAAACAGCATTATAAACCACACGCATTCACAATACTCACCCACAGCTTGTCTCTAGCATACTGTCTCCCACCTGTAGTGAGGCCATGCCAAAGTCTGCAATCCTGATATTGTTCCTCTCATCCAGCAGGAGGTTTTCTGGCTTCAGGTCTCTATGACTACAAGAGCACAGAGGACAACCGGCTCTGAACACGGCGTTCACCAACAACCCTCTACAGAATCATACTTTGGAAGATGTACAGTGTCAAAATATGAATTCTTCACTCATCCTTGTCTTGTCTGTATCTGCCCAATTAAGATACTAGAGCTAGAACCACCACATATGAAAATATGAGGGACTAATCATGTTAAAAACAGTTATCAATAACTGTGTCTGTAGGGTTTTTGTCACTAAAAGATCCCATTAAGGGGAATGTAATTTTTTCCTATCCTGAAATATATGATGCAGTGTTATTTTAGTGTCATTGATATACTATTATAGTTTATTATTATTATTATTTTAAATTACATTTTTTTTTTTCACTTTAATTTGAGTTAGTTTTAGTAATTTAGTAATTAGTTTTTTAAATAATTTTTATTAGTTTTTATTAAATATGTCTATAGTTTTTATTAGTTGTTGTTTATTTATTTATATTTGAGTAGTTTAGTACTTCAAGTTAAACTAAAAAAAAAGATAAATTAATTTTTGTTTTTTTATATTTTATGTTAACGTTTATTTTATTTCAAGTAACAATGTTTTTATGGTATTAGTCTTAGTTATTAGTTATTATTTTAGTTTAGTTATATTGAAGGTGCAACATCAATTTGTGAAAAAGGAAATTAAATAGAAGTTTTTTTCAAAAATCAAGTAAATGTAAATGAGAAAATGACTCCAAGCAAGGGGCAAAAGGCCATATTCAAATGGTATTTGTTACCATATTCAAATACAATTGAACACCTATTCAAAATAGCCACCAGCAAATGCTGTACTATCCTGTATTATTTTTGTTTTTAGAATATGATCTACAGTATAAATAAATCTCATCTGTGATGCGGTCAGTGTGGGACCACTTTGCACATACTTTGATTTTAATCACCTTCAACCAAATTGAAAATCAGAAAGCTTCTCAAAATATGTGAGCTTGCAAAACTTTACCCCAGGGACTTGTTCTATGCTATTTCTCATTCTAATTTACATTATTTTATTAAGAATTGTGTGTGTGTGTGTCTGTCTGTCTGTCTGTCTGTCTGTGTGTGTGTGTGTGTGTGTGTGTCTTACCATATAGAGTGACTATGACAGAAGTCCAAGGCAGATATGATTTGTCTGAAGAATTTTCGTGCCTCTTTAGGTGTCAGTCTGCCTTTCTTCACCAAATAGTCAAACAGCTCTCCTCCTGAAACATGCTCCAGAACCAAATATCTGCATGAATGAAGCCAGAGAACGAGTGGAACAAAGGTTTTAAGAAGGGACAAATGACAAGCAGGAAAAACAATGTGTTGAAAAAGCCTATAAGAAATCATGTAAAAGTGTGGTAACTCACAGGTATTTGTTATTCTCATAAACATCATGGAGTTTCAACACGTGTGGATGTTCAATCAGTTTTAAAATAGCAATTTCTCTCTCCACCTGATTGAATGATAAGAAGAAAAGATAATATTTACCACTATTAATATACTATTAGTGTTCCTGTGTTTGTTTGTTTTTTGGCCTTGGAATGGCATGTAAATACCATAGTACATGAATATGGCAGGGTTATTAAAGTTAAATAAAACCATTAAAAAAAAAAATTTTTGTTACTTAAAAAGTTAAATAAAATAATAAAATAAATGTTAACTGAAATTAAAATATTTTAAATCAAATTTTTTAATCAACATGTATCATTTTCATTTAGTTTAACTAGATGTAAAATAACTAAAACTGAAATAAAAATGTATTAAAATTATATAGACAGAAACAAAAGCTAATAAAAATGGCAAAAATACAACTAAATTACTAAAACATTAACTAAAATTAAAATGAAAACAGAAAATATAAAAAGTTATTCAAAATATTAATAAAGCCTATAATAGTGATACTAAAATAACACTGGAATATGGTAATCATACCATAGTGATACATGATACTTTTGACAGGTATAATATTATCATTTCATTTGCAGATTTAATATCAATTTTAATTATTATTAGCGACTGAGACTTTACAAAAACTAGGCCTATAGCATTAAAAAATATATGTTATTATTCTTTCTTTACCTTCATCAAAACAGATTCTGAGAGTTTTTCTCTGTTGACTATTTTGATGGCTACTTTTTGACCAGTGATGCAGTGAATCCCGACCTTCACCAGACCTATTGACATCGCAGACAATTCATCAGTGATGACCGCTTTGAAAAAAGTAGAAATCACAGACAATTTAATACGTAAACATGTCCTTACCGGTCTGGCCTTTCCCGAGAGTCTTCTCTAGTCGATAAGGCCCCACATACTGAGCTGCCTGGGTCACTGACAGTTCCTTAGACATAGTGGCGGCCTGTTAAACTTGCTACTGCATGCAATATTTTCACAGCGTACCGTTTCTGAGTTGAGTTTTTCTAAAATAGTCTCCCAAGGGTCTGCAACAACCTGGGAATATATCCATGCTGAGCTCGTTGTTCCCTAAAATCGGTCATATGGGCCCATTTATTGTTCTGAACTCTTTCGGTCTAATTCATAGCTTTGCCAATTTTCTCAATCGATCAGACTTTTCGTTCCCAGTACATGTCATTACAGAAAGCCAGGTCCTGTTAGTAAGCTCCTGCTTCTAGATGTATCTACCAGCTGGACATCACCTCATGACAAAAACACCATTTAGAAACTCCACCTAACTGTGTTTGTGAAATATAAGTGAACACAAGCCTTCAGTACACTTGTGCTAGGCCTAAATCCCAAGTAAAGGAAGCAGAATCTTACAATTGAATAATAAACAAACAAATAGGTAAATCTATTCCCGTTTCACATTCAGCAAGACAACCCAAAAGACCAGTCCGATCGCGTATGTGACTGTAAGGAGATCCAGGTCGCTCTGCATCCTCTTGCATCACTGCAGCGGATCTGTTTCATCTCTGCTGCTGATGTTGAGCTCCATCCTGCCGCACGGACCGCAGCATCCTCATCCTTCTCGTCTCCGCCGTGTCCGGTCCAGCGCACGCTCGCATCCGCCGGGCACTTTTGAGGAAGGGGCTTTATGTTTTTTATGGTGACTGATACGTTGCGCACTGATCGCTGATGTTTTGCGTGTCTTGACGGTTTATTTGCGTTGTAAAGCGTTATTTTCTCCGTTCTGGTTCCTCGCATCAACATCCGGGTCCCACACCCTCCTCCTCCTCATCATCATCATCAACCCAACCTCCCAAACACACTCCCCCACTGCACCTCGCGCCACAGATCTGTCTGTCCCTCAGAGAAGAGTACGATACAGTCATGCTTTCAGATGGTGGAATGATATATATATATATATATATATATATATATATATATATATATATATATATATGTGTGTGTGTTCAAGTACCAAATACGTAGAACTCGGAAATAAATAAATAAACAAAGAAATACAACAAAAAAAAAACAAAACACCATGTGTATCCAAATTGTTTAGGTCATGGGAAAAATATTATTTTATTTTATTATAATCATTTTTAAATGTATCTTTTACTTTAAGCGTTCATGTCTTTTGGTCAACATTAAAAAAAATAACAACACAAATAAACTATCTAAAAAAAAAATTAAAATAAAAAACAATATCAAAGTTTTAATACTTGACCAGTTCAACAAAGTGTTAATAATTTACGAGTTCACACACAGGCTGGTATGAGTTTATCGTTTTTATCTGTATCTTAATGATTTTTATTGTATATTGTTGTTGTTTTATGTCATTGTGCTTATTTTCTTTTCTGTCACAACCGTGATACAAACTGCAAATATTTGAATGTGCAAATATTTTTAGATGAATATGAGTTTTTTTAAATACGAGTTTTTATATTAACAATAATAATTATTATTATTCATTTGCATCATTGTGCCTATAACCCCCAATACAACAATTATGTGAACCCTTTTCTAATCTTATATAGGCCCTTGCTAGCGATACTATAAAACCTACATGACATGCATGCATGATTAACATGGGATGAAAAGTATGAAAATGGTTTTGTCAACACCATCAGAATTTCTTCAATAGATGGTGCTGACAGTCAGTTGCTGTGTTTACAGGCCCACTTTCAGGAAACCACATGAGCAGCGCTGCCAATGTGCTTGGCACAAGTTAGCAAGTATGCAGACCACTGCAGTTAAAGGTCAATCAATCATTGCATGCAATTAAATATTATGAAGCTCTTTAGTGTCAGTTATTTAGTGAACACAGTTATGTATAGGCTGCCTCTTAATTGTCATGGTTATTGATAGTAATTTATTAAAAATCAAATGAAATGCACTGTTTTATTACAGTGTGAAATCTGGAAAATAATAATAATAATAAAACTGGGTTCTTCTTTCTTCCACTGTTACAAATAACACAGTAAACATGAGGGACACCAACAAGGACAACAACTTCCCAGGATCAAAATAAACAATTCCACTGCTTTCCAGCTCTTGCACCCCTTTCACTGTCCATAAAATGGTTTAGTCCAGTGCAATGTGAGGGAAAGCAAGGGCACTGGAGGACCCAGAAAGGAAAGACCTAAGTTAAAAATAACAGTAAAAATAATCAGAATCAACAAATCAATGCATTCATCCAGACAGAAGACAAATATACAAACAATCGCTCCACAATACTGTAATGAAACGCTCCGTAAACTGTGCTACATTAAACTGCAGATACATTTCAAACAGAATAAAAGTCACAATGAAAAAACATAACAAAATTAGGAATAAATCAGGTAGAACAGTATTTGATATTTACATGTAAATCCATGTCCCCTCACGAGGCTGCCGTGGTCCCCTTCACACAGGCCTCAAAAGCTTCCAGCAGCTCCTTACAGCCCTCTGCACCCTTCCCCTGAACACTGGACACATAAACAGTGTGTTTAGTGTGCTAACAAAGAAATAGTGTACACCTATGATATTATGATTCTGCTGTGCATTGATTTTTTTGGGATGACTGATCTCATGTCAAGATCAAAGGGGCCACATTCTTTGGAGTCAAAGGGTGTTGTTACGTCATCACATGAAAGAGCCTTCAAAGTTATGCTTTTTTTAAGATAAGGTAGTTGGCATTAAATACTTTGGTAAGTCTTGCAGTGTGACATGGTATAAGCAAACTAAAACTACTTCGAACTGTATATTTTTAAAGAAATTATTACACCTTTAGGACCTCATTGAAGGAATATCTCACCCAAAAATCAAAGTTGTTAAAAATTTGCTCACCCTCAGGTCATCCAAGATGTAGACATGTTTGTTTCTTAATCTGAACAGATTTGGAGAAATATAGCATTACATTACTTGTTCACCAATGGATGCTCTGCAGTGAATGGGTGCCGTCAGAATGAGAGTCCAAACAGCTGATAAAAACATCACAATAATCCATACCACTCCAGTCATTCAATTAACAACTTGTGAAAAGCTTTTTGTGAGAAACATACTTTTTACCAAAAACTGTCGCTTCTGGCCAAAATACAAGTCCATAATCCATAATAACACTTCCTCCAGTGAAAACGTCCATCCCCTGTTGTCCTCTCACATCAAAACCCACCCACATATTTGTTTAGAGCTGTTTTGGACTGCTTTGGCTTATAAACAGTACTTTATCTCAGTACTTTTCACTGGAGAAAGCAATATTATGGATAGAGGACTCATATTTTAGCCTGGATTCATGTGGATTGCTTGTGGATTATTGTGATGTTTTTATCAGCTGTTTGGACTCTCATTCTGACGGCACCCATTCACTGCAGAGGATCCATTGGTGAGCAAGTGATGGAATGCTACATTTCTCCAAATCTGTTCTGATAAACAAACAAACTCATCTACATCTTAGATGGCCTGAGGGTGACTACATTTTAAACAAATTTTCATTTTTGGATTTTCTTCATAGAGCGCTAGTTTGAAATATCTCACTGTCCAAGTGCTAAAATCTAATAAAAAGGATCATTCTTGCACACTAGGTGATTTTAAAATCTTGACCAGATTTGCACGTTACAGCAACTATTACCCTCATAAATAACGCAGACATTGCAATACAGGCGATGAAATGTGAGCTGTGAGCACACCTCCATTCTCTATTCGAAACCAGGCTATATTTACATCACACATATACATTACTAAAGTTCATGCTAAATTTGGCATTTGGCATATTGCTCGTAATTTTGCATTCAAATATGAGAAATGTTTATAATTATATTTGGACTTGTATGCAATCATGCATATTCATGATGCAAAGACTCAAGCCTTTGCTTAATTTTATTTTGTAATCTCAAATGTACTCTGAATGATAACTTAATGAATTTAATACATAATGCAATGTAATGCAACTGGCAAATGCTGTATTTTATGTGTAAGCGAACAACCCAGAAGTGATGCACCGCAAATGATAACCTCAATTTACAATGAGTGCTATTGACTAAAAAAGTTGAGAAACAGTCATAAAGTAGATAGCGCTTCTCTTGTAAATGGCACAACTTGTGCAACTCACCGTAAAGTTCACATTATTGTGTCATTGTGTGAGTGCATTGACCTCTGACCTTTTGACCTAGAAAGAGAGCACTTTGCTTTGTTCACAATTATAGATGGAGGTTAATCATTTGTGCGTGAAAGCCTACAATGCTGGAAAATGACGGAAACTATCATAACATGTATCTCCAAAGCTCTGTCGATATCAAGCGCAAGCACCAAGGGGAATGTGTGCTCCAGCCACATGCTTTAACTTAGTAACATGATGACTAACATGGATCATTTTCCACCTGCATCATCACTTCCCAAACCTGCTCCCCCCGGCACCATGTGCTCAGTCTTGTCATTTAGTATCCAACACACACATTTTAACTAGCCTTTCAAATAGTTTCATTCACAAACCACTACTCATAACCTATATACTGTACATAGAGTTGTTATGATATGATGGTGCATAACTAAAAACAAATTCACGCTGAGCTATTAAGCATGCAACAGCACCAGATATTTAAAGTATTCGATATTCAATGTTGCATTAATGTACTATGTCCTTACTGAAATATGACTCACCATTTGTCCAGCTCATCTTTGGGAGCCTTGCACTGAGCAGGAACTTCTTCTGGCTTCTGTGAGCTGAGAAGAGCCTTTAAAGAAGTACAGGGTGAAAAACTAATATATATATAGGATTACTTCCCAGTCTGTGCGGGAAGGAGGAGGAAGAGAGGGAGGAGAAACAGGCTGCAGAAAGTGTCATGATATAGTAAAGGTGACCTGGGCGAAATTAGAATAGAATAGAATGTACCTTTTTGAAAGGCACATACTGCATATATTTCCATGTTGTTTCCTGGTATGATTTTTCAAGATACCTGCAATGTTTCTGTTTCATTATAATGCAAATCAAGATCCAGCAAGTCTGCTGTAAATATTCATTTCTAAGTGTGAACAAGGGGTTAAGATTGTAAACTAATGTTTTAATGTTTTTAATTCCTAACCATTTGAGTCTCTCTCTCTCTGTGTGTGTGTGTGTGTGTAAAATATGTATTTTCCATATAATTTCCATATCCTTTTTAGTCTTACATTTTATTGTTAACAGGATGGTGAATATGCTGCAACATTTTCATTTATTAACTATCCCTTTATTTTTGACTTCATCGAATATAAGGCATATAGGAAAGACTACAATCAAACACTAGATGGCGCAGCTTTACAAGAGCCAGTAGGAACAAGCACAAACTACAAAATAAAGGAAAACTATCAACATCGCAGATAACACACACACACACACACGCGACTTTATTTCTACCTTTTGTTATTATTATTATGTTTTGTTTATCCTAATGTAACCCCTGGCTGTATTTATAATTCTTGAAAACATAAATAAATAAATTTGCTGATATTATGTACAAAAAAAAAAAAAAAAAAAGTCAAATGAAGCTTTTTCTTAAATATATATTTTGACATTAATGGGTTTTAAAATTAGTAATAAAGTATAATAAACTAATTTCAGTGTCTAGAAATAAGAAAAAAAAAAGAATCTAAGACAGTATTATATAACATGATATAGAGATGGCTATGGAGTTCTGTCAAGAACACGAAGTCTGTTGTGAGTAATTTGACATTAACCTAGAATAATGAGCATAATTAATTTTGTAATTATGTATAAGAACAAGAAAGAATAACTAAAGATAATATTTAAAATAATTAATTTATTTAAAATATTTATTCGAATACTTTTCTTTTGGTACCACGGCTGAGCTTGGCGAAATATATCAAGTAACGTTATACCACATGGTTTAGCGTTCGCGGTCCCCCTCTAGTGGCCGGCCGGTGAATAGCTGTTCTGCGTTCACTCTAGCGGCGGGCGTGAGAATGTCTCCCGCCTACAGGCTTCTCGCTAGTCGCTACACACTCTGCATCTGTATTTGTCAGCCTCAAATCCAAGGGAGACGAACGAGGCGCCATCTTTCGTGCGTTTCTCCCTGCAACGATGAGAAAATGATCTCGAAACCGGTGGTCCATGCCACCTCCAATCTGTAAATAAAGGCGTATATGAAAAGAACTCGTATCCGAGCAAAACATCGATTCATAATATACAGAAAAAATATACATTTGCTATCCATAATCCACTGAAGGGGACAGCAGCGGCAAGGTGTTGTCTAGTATCAACCATTTCGTGATTCCGGAGCCGATAACGAAAAGGGTTCCTGAAACCGGGGTCTTTTTCACGAAGCGGACACGGATATGGCAAAGGCGGCGGGGCTGCTTGACCAAACGGCTTATTTCGGGCTTTGGTGACAATATTGTGCGATTGTGGTGGAATAGTTGCCGAAATTCCCTCGGATCGCGCGCCTGTCACGTGGTAGGTTCCTCCTTTTTCTTTGTTAGTGGACGATCTCGAGCAGCAGCAGCATTTATGTTACATAAACCTAAGCCTGCAAACCTGAGATTCCAGTTTAACTCATATTACCAGGAACTGTTGTATTTACAATAATTTTTATGTATCATTTTATTTATGGGGGTTTGAAGGCTCGTATGTTTGCTTTAAAACAGATTACTATCTAGTACTTTCTCACGCAATAAACTCATACGCGCGCTTATTTATTAATTCCCTCCCTATTTTAGCTATAACGGACTTATATATCTTCCTCATGTTTTGATCTACAACTAGCAGCCTCGTTTAGTTTGTACTAAGTTACCTTATCAGTTTCAAACCGGTTCTCGTTCAAATTGTTGGTTAAAATGTAAGCAAGGCCGTTTGAGAGCATGCTAAACATGTGCAATGCTCCCATTTACAGTATGAGGCTTGCGAGACATTTAGCAGCAATGCATTAAAACGCCATACGATGTATTTAATGAGCTTCTACGTCTAACGTTAGTCTTCGAGCCTGAGCTGAAACGCTCCTTCGTTTATGCACGCCACGGAAGTGGTATGAATGTTCATGTGGTCTGTTCAGCATATGCCTGCTAACCGGGCGGCAACCTCCCGCTCTCTCGTGAAGCCAACATGGAAGTGACTTAAACTGTAATTCATCAACTGGCCGCTAGAGGCTGGCTGCAAAAGGGAGTCAGTCCCATAGACTCCCCATGTTAAAATGCCCAACTTTACAGCAGAAAAAAACATGTTTACAGCCTGGTTCAAAAAATGATTTTGGTCTATATAGCTAATGTTGCCCTTCATGACAACTGTGAGGGGGTGAATTTTTTTATAACTCATCCGTTTAAATTATATTAAGCCTTAAAGTTCTGCATAATTAAGGGCGTGGCCACTTGAGTGACAGGTGGATTGCCGCTGCTGTCACCACCGTCGAGCTAGGTGGGCGTGGTTTCAGCAACCAGCTCACGCCTCTTTGCCCATTTTCGATTATCCGGGAGTGACGCGCTGCCAAGATGGCGACGGCTGGCTCCGCCTACTTTAGGCTTCAAAACGCTCGTCGGAAGTCTACGGGTTACGTCACGGACACTACGTCCATGTTTTTATACAGTCTATGCTGCTAACGCGGAAAATTGCACAAGTGCGTTATGGTTGTAAGTAGCTAGGCATTGGTGTGTGAGATTTTATAAACTGATTTAACGTTAACCTAATACGTATAACCTATTATTGATCCGAAGCGTGTATTATACCGGTATTTCCTGTATTAAGTTCACTTGTTATAGCAGTCATGCTGAGAAAACGCGCGATTATTTGATTTTATTTGAAATTACCAGCGCGAACGCAGAAATGTTTGCGCTCTTTCCGCTCCCTTCGCCGCTCCCCATGTTTACTACTTTGACATATTTGACAAACTCGATAACTCCCTGAGAACACACCCAGCGTTTTGTTTTAATGTTTCAGATTAAATATTACATTAATTTGTTGCTAGTTAAAATGACCGAACATTACTTTTTGAAATGAAAATATCAGTGTGCTAGAAGAAGAAGAAGAAGAAGAAAAAAGCGGTTATATTGTAGATGGAGCGGGTCGCCCCCTCATGGGCACCACCATGTTTTCATCACATGACCATCCCTTTTCATGTCATGCAGTTGACAGTTACTGCTAATAATAACCTTATTAATAAAATATTTACTTTATAAAGTGTTTTCACAAGGCATTTCAAAAAGACCTTAAAACAAACAAATCTCTTTTGTGTGAAGTTGCAGCCGTTCGTAAACAAATATCATTTATCACCATTGGTAGTATTGTGACAAATAAAAGCTAGCTTAATGTTAATTTATTGAGTTACTTATTGAGTGTACTTTTCATGCAGAACTGCTGGCAAGTAATGTATCATCAGTAAAATATCCTTCACCCTCTTGTGGCAGTGTGTCTGTATACCTCCTTTGATATTGGACTCCACTGACATATTTTGTTAGTAGTGAAATACTCTACAGCTGTGTTTGTTGGAGTTGAGGTATGGGTATTTGTAACGTGGTAATTCATGAGTTGAACCATCTACATGCACTTATGAAGAGATAGTCTCTTATCTGTTGAGGCCTAAAGGCATATTCCTAATTCCGTTGACACAGATGGTCTGCTGAGGCCAGAGGAGGAGGGGAAATTGAGAAGGCTTGCTCTTACATAAGCTTGAATAGAGTAGGTCTTTCCCTACTAACGACTATGGTAATGGTCCCCGCTCAGTTCAGGTCAATGAGTTCTCATTCCCTTTTTTACTTTGAGGTGAAGAGCATTGGGGCAGATAAATTAATGTCCAAGAAATACTGATAATGCAAATTTCTGTTTGTGTCCACTTACTCTGTTATCAGTAGTTATCTTCTGATATGTGTTTATATTTATTTATCCAGTATTGATACTAAAATAAAAATCAATATGGCATCACAATTGACCTATTTATTTTTTAATGTATGTTCCTGGTCTTATTGTGAACGATTCGACACTGCAAGTTATTCCAAAGAGTTTCCCTCCCAAAACAATATTCCCTATCCCAAAGACTAATCTTATTGGAGGCCTGCTGGCATGGATTTTGAAAAAAGGATTATCAGGCAGAGATTGCAGTTGTGTTTCAGGTATTTTACTCATGAATGCCTCAAAAAAAAAGTGAAGCTCGAAATGGACTGTTGTAAGCAAACCTTTAAGATAAGAACGCTCCTTAGACAATTCATGTGGAAACAATGAATAAAAAAGACCCACCCGTTGAATATCCTGTTTCAGTTTTAAATAGGCAGATTACACAAGTGCAATGCCTATTTTCATTATCAGACAGTAAGTGGACTAAATAGCTTGTCTCACTGGCTGCTTATTGTTAAAGTTTAATGAATAGGTTAGGGAAAAAATAATCTTGTTGAAGGCCTGCTGGCCTGAATTTTGGAGAAGGAATATCAGACAGAGATTGCAGTTATGGTTTAGGCATTTTATTTATCTTCCAAATTTTGATCCGCAAAATAAAGTTTGCTGAAACTTGGTCTTGTAAGAAAACATTTAAGATAAGAAAACTCCTAGTCATAATGATCTTACACAATTTATGTGGATAAATGAATAAATAAGCCCCACCCTTTAGTCATAAATATGAAGATTACAGAAGTGCAGTGGGCTGCAAACTGCTTTTCTGCTTGAGTGAAAATATTAGAAATGATGTGCACTAGTTTAAATGGCTTGTATCTCCAGCAGGTTGGAGATTAAAGATTATTGAATACTCTTGTTATATTGAAAACTCTTGTTATTTGTCTTCACCTTCAAAATATTGTGTATATTTGCAGTCTCCTAAATCTTTTTTTTCCCCCCTTTGTAGCCAGGCTGTGTAGGTGGGCTGGAGTGAAGGTTTGGAGGTGCAGGCTGCCGTGTCCATTCCTTGGCCCTGCATGGCTGCGATGGCGCCCGCTCTGACTGACGCCCCAGCCGAAGCCCGCCACATCCGCTTCAAACTTGCCTCTCCCTCATCCACCCTGTCCCCCGGCAGCACCGAGAACAACAGCAACGCCAGTAACATCCTTATCTCCGACTCAGTCTCGAACTCTGCCGGTAGCCACACCAACGGCAAGTGTCACATCAACGCCGACGACGGACAGAACTTCGCCCATTATAACAGTGTCA